GTTGCCTGCCCCTTTTTCCACAAGTGATATCATCTAGAAGTCCCAAAAACTAATTTCTGGCCTGCAGTCTTCACAGAGAAGAGGTAAAAAAAAAAAAAAAAAAAAAAATTTGCAAAGATCTGGTTTAATTATTTCACCTATTAGCACTTCACTCTGAAAGACTTGTCATTGGTACCATTCTGGAGCAAACACAAAGGATAGAAAGACATTTCTCAACTGTCTTCCTTTGGTATTTTACACATATCTCTCTACTATCTTTTTAAGGGATTCCTGGAATTTTGGTTGATTTTTATATTCCTGCATTTGTCTTGCCTTACTGACATTCATAGGACAGACTCTTTTTGATCTTTCCTCTTTTTTATCTGTTAAAAATATAACATCAAACAAATATAAAACAACAAAATCACAATAATGAAAGGTAAAATAAATCATAAGAATCAAACAGACTTGGTTTTTTTACAATTTTCATCTTCTTTCCTTCCCTCCGTATTTTGTTCAGAATGTGTCAGGGTTCTACGCAGAAATAGATGGAGCGAAAAAGGAATTGCAAGAAAAACTAGCCAATCTGTCTCTGTTTGATGATGATTTGGTAGAAAAGGCTATGCATCATGCACACAACCTAAGAAGACTTGCTGATGAGCTGGACCGGTAAAATTTAACTTCAGCATACTTTGTTCTTACAAGTGCTACTGATTGAACAGCTGAATAAACTAAAAGACAAGCAGAAACACCGTTGCAATAGATATGCTGTCTGTAAATATGCACTAAACAAATCACTGTTAAGTCATGTATGGAAGGACTTGTCAAGGTCCAGAGAGAACAGTTGAAGTTGAGCTAAGCAAAATCTATTAATCTTTTCAAAGAATAAACAAACATATATCTTGCGTGACATTCTCCCCTTTCTAATTTGGCTTGTTCTTCTCTTCCCATAGCAAGAGAACAGGAAAGGTAGCTTACTGAAAAGTAAAATAATACAGGCAGATTAAATGGGGTTTGCAGAAACAGCTCATGTCAGTAAGTTCATTCACATTAAAAAATGTTTAGCATCATGGGCCAAAAAAATGGCTTTGGGATTTTTGTTCAAGAACTGGTTTACAGATGTAGTTCTGATACTCAGTTAGTTGTGTCCCAGTGAAACTGGCCCACTGTAACACCAAAAAATTACTATAAGTCTTCCTAGTTTGCTGGAAGATACTAAATGCATCAACTTCCCCCAATTTACTAAAAAGCCACTTTTAGACAGACTTGAAATATGGCTTTATTTGCAATTGGGACTACCCATGGAAAAATCACTCCTGCAAATGAATTCTTAAATAAAATATTTCACCAAGCTCTACCTTAACATTACGGACATATGCTTTTGGAAGATAAACTTAAAGCTACTCTTCAAGTATATTATCTAAATACCAATTGTTTCTTAATGTTAGTATGCCCTAGATAGGAGATTAAAACAGAGAAAAAAATAACAGATCGTTTTCTTTTATACAATTGTATAAAGCTGACATATGAAACTCTGTTCTATAATGCCACACAAACTACAGACAGCCTAAAAAAAAAACTATGTTCAGTCTGAGATCAGCTAACTGGGAGCAGCAGAATCACTTGAAAGAAAATACCCCAGATGGCTAGCCTTCATCCCTTACCAAAATAATTTAAAAATGACTACCAATTCCAACACATTAGGAATTCAATAGAAAGCAAACAGAAATAACTACGAAATATCCAGATGGAAATGTGCTGACTCTTTTATTTGTTGAGAAGATTGTCCTGCAGTGAAACTTTAATCATTTAAAAAATTTAGCCTGTCTTCAAATAATTTTGGTTTTTATGGGTTTGTTTTATAAGCCTGTTAGGCTTTTATTTGGTAGAGATTCTTCTTTTGTCGTGGGGGAATATAGCAGGAAATTCTTGCAACAACACTGAATCTGGAAACTTAATAAGCCCTCAGTGTGCAAACTCTTTGAAGTGAATATACACACGTATATATATAGAGAGAGTGTCTATATCTAACATATACTCTGAATTCTGTTTATCACAAAAATATAAAAAAAAAATATTTATTCAAAGTTGCTAACAGCTGAAGGTTGAGTCCTAAACCAACTGCTGTTTGGAATCTCCCCTGAAGACCAGTTATTGCCTAATATGCAAATCAAGCTCTACCATGCCAGCAAAGCTATCCTGTATTTTTGAAATCTAACTTTTTGCAAAGTTTCATGATCATGGGCAGTTCTTCAACTGATCCTCCCCCTTTTGCCATCTACTTTTGGAAAGTATAAACAGCCCAGTGATACAGCTGTCCTGATCACTGGCACACACAGGTCTTTCCATTCACAGCCAGGAGTTATCCCTAAATAAGGACAACTGATAGATGTTATTCTGTTAATTTATGGAATATCTACTCTAGATTAAAAAAAGATAAAAGCTCAGTAGTGACTTGTTGCTGCTCACATAGACTTTAAGGGCAAAATTCCCCGAGTTATACCACTGGGAAGGACCTTCTGTCCACATAGTTTTCATCTGCTTCAGACTAACATAAATGGTCGTACACAATCAAGAGAATACTACTTAGGCCAAGTATATTTATGTGCATGATTATGTAGTCAGAATTCACAGAATGTTAAGAAAATTAATCCATTTGAAACTATTTTGATTCAGTTTGGTTTCTTCCTCCTTTTACTCTCTTTTTAACAGGAATTTGTATGGTGTTGATACAAATGGGTTGGTACAAAGGGCAATAAATGCTTCAAATGTGTATGAAAACATTGCCAGTTATATTGAAGAAGCTAATAAAGCTGCATTGCTGGCACTGAACACAACAAACCGGGTCAATGATGTAAGTAAGTTTCATAATATCAGCTTTTACTTTGCAATGCTTCAGGGCTTTTGGACACCTAAGTATAAAGAAGAAACAAGATTTAGCTTAACTGTCAGCACTGAACTTCTCACTATTGCTTCATCCACTTCATCTCACTTGCTTCATCCACTATTTCCTGAATTAAATCCTAGGTAGTTAATTATTCTGCTGGCCTAAAATCTCCTGGTATTCAAAAAGATGCAACAGGTTCTTCTGTCCCCAAGTACAGGATGCTGCTGCTCTGTGTTGTCACTCAAATTGAGGCATTTCTGTGAAAGTCCAGACAACTCTCTGGCCCTGTAGGAAACTGAGCTGGCATTTAGCGCTTGAGTCCTCGTACTCCACACAGCACCATGTGGCAGAAAAGGTGGTCAAGATATCTAACAGAAGCATCACTGTTTCTCATAGAAAGTCAAGCTAAAATGGGGCAAATAGCCCACTCACACACTCAGTGCAGGGATGAGGATGCTAATTTTGTCTCTGGCCTTGCTGTTCTAAAATATTTTATACGTATTTTTGTATGTATATAGTTTCCAACCTATATACATGCTACTTAACGGCAATTTATTAGTGGCCTAGAAAGAGGATTTGGCTGGATTACAGGGGCCTGAACCCCAGGGAGCTGTGGGATTTTGAGTCCAGCCCTCTGCTTCCAGCACGCTACTGGGGACCGCAAGGCAGCTCCCCACACAGCGCAAGTGTTCATCACCCATCTGAGATGACAGTAGAAAATGAACAGTCACAGTGCCTAACAAACATGTAGCATGAGTATCAGGTTGACCATACTGGAGTTGATAAATTAAGAGGACTTCTGCGCTTTCTGCATCTTTGTTATTCAGTGTTGTTGTCTGGAAAAGCATACGTTTCTCTAAATTTTAATTGCAATCTACAGAAAATTTTGCTTTTCAGACTTTTTTTCTAAATCAACTGCCAGTCTTAGATGCTAACAAAGCAAATGAACTTGCAGTGACTTTGTAGTCACATTTATATGAAGTAATATGCTGTCCACAATTAAACACAATAAAGAGGAACATTTGGTAAGCATTATTCTGACTTTCTTTTTTGGAACATACTTGTAGGCTGCAGTTGGAATTGATACTCAGATCATTTATCATAAAGGTAAAAGCGAAGAACTTCTCAACCAAGCCACAGAGCTACAACGGACAGCAGATGACAGTAAATATACATCCTTTCTACTTTCCCAGTCAGTTTATAAGCATGCACGTTAAAATAAATTTCAAAAGCACATCACTAAGGCAGAACTACTGCTGAAACAGAATAGTGTATTGATCGAAGTTACCACACAAAGTACTTGAAATGGCCACAGGCACAGTTTGAGTAGTTTATGTGTTGTCATCCTGCCAGATGCTGAAAATTTATTTCATTTACAAAAGGACCATTTCAGATACAACCACTGTTTAAATATGTGATCCTGCAAACAGTTGTTCACAGGTAAATATACTCAATCAAGTAGTTCAAATGAAATCAATTCACAACAGTTTAGATGTTCAGAAAGCTGGATTTCACCAGTGAAGGATAATAATAAATGTTAACGGATTTTGGCCTTTTTTCACTGAAAATGAAAGAAGGCTTTGAAATTACAGAAATTACCTCTTCAATTTTTCAGAACCTTTTGAGTTCTTTAAAATTTTTCCTGTATACTTGTTGCAGCTATTCTCAGCAGTGCTGGTAAAGCAAGGAGAGAGAGTACTGACTGAGACACGGGTCTCCAGATTTTTCTAAGAAGCAAACAAATAATGGCTAGGAGCTGCAAGGTTACTTTTTCCTTTAGATTATTTGAAGTCCAGAGTGCTGGTATGCCCTATACCAAAAGAGGCTACAGTATACTGCCTATGGTGTATTAAATGCTTAGTAACATACCTGCACAGGACAAAATTTACCTTTTTAAATGCCACTCCAATGCCACTCAACTATACCTCCTATTTTCTCCCCACAGGTAACGATTTAACCATTGCAGACACTAGCCAGCATGTTAATGGCACTCTTGCCAGAATGAACGCTCTGCGAAGCCAACTGATGAGAGCCATCACAAAAATGCAATCAGCAGAGCCAGGTTGTAAAAGGAACTTCATCTTTATGATGCTTTATCTTCATACATTTAAGAGCATATTTTATCTTTGCATATGGCCTATGAAGTTGGTATTAAGATTTCAGTCTCAGGCAGGCCTAAAGGAATTTGACTTGAAACTGCAAGACCTAAACAGCAAACATCCAGCTTTAACATATTCATAATGAAATTACATGCTTTGCCATCTGAAATTATTAACATTCTTCTTTGATCCTCCTTACTACCGTTGTCCACTCCCATGTTACTCTTGATCTTTTCAGGGTTTGGAGAATCTACAAGTCTGTGGATTTATTGTACTGATAGTCAAATTCACATATGCATCACACCTGGCAAGTAGAGTATTTGGGAGGTAATTACTGGCAGTCTTGATGATTGACAAAATCTCACCTTAGTTTTTCAGAAAAGAGACATCATAGAGCATCCAGCAAGTATATCTGAAAGTGTTCAAAGTTGACATGGTCAAGATTTCTTCATTAACTTTCAACTAAACATGGCTGGGGTTTACTGCCAAGACATTATCATATGCAAAATGTCACAGGTTTTACAAATACAGCAGTCAGTAACTCAAAAAAAATAAAAACCCCAAAATGCCAGGTATGAAGAAACAAAACCACTTCAGTGTCTTGCATTTCTCTCCTTCAAAAATAACTTTCATTAAAAATATTCAACAAATACATGCATTTTCTTTTAAAAACCTGACGTTTTTCGTATTTTTTTTTTCACCTCTGTTCCAACTTCCTTGGCTATATAACACCCATCAAAATCCAAGGACACAGAAAATTTCTAAAAATCTAGAATGGAAATGAGAATTTGTTAAATTTTAAGAATTAGTATAACTGTAGGCCAACCATGGGAAGTTTTGAATATTCCCTGTGGAAACAAAGCAAAAACCAACCAAGCAAGGTTGGGTGCCCATTCTGCAGAAGGTAAAATCCCCTTAGCCTCACCACTTTCTAAGTACTGGTTATAGCTCTCTTGAATCTTTGAAACAGTTCATTTCTCCTCACCCCCTATTTATTTTGTAGTGGAGGCCAGAGAGCGTTTGGAGCAAGCTAAACTGAAGACTGCAGAGGCCGTAAGTGCTACCATGACAGTAATGCAGGCTACGACACCCATGGATGAGAACGTGAGGTTGTGGTCTCAGAACCTGCAAGACTTCCAGCACAATTCAGCGGCGTACGACAGTGCTGTGCATTCAGCTGGGGATGCAGGTATGGTGACCTCAATTTTGCCATTCCTTAGCATTAAAAGGTCAGGGAATCATCGCAACATCATGTTGTATGAATCATTTACATTGCATATTCATTGCATATAATCTTCTAGCATTTTACCTCCATGAAAACATTTCAAAAATTAGCAGTTGTCTAGAGACTTGACTGTATTTTAAAACTTTTGGATACTTGGGCATTTCCAAAAATGACTTACTGAAACACTTAAGGGCTGAAATCTTATGGGCTTTTAAGTCGTTTTATCAGGGTACCAAGGTCACACTGAACAATAGACAGCTTGTCTAAATACTTCTCGCTATTATGATTGGCGATTCAGTTATTATTTTTTTAACATTGGGAGGCATTTGAAAACAGGGCCCTTTTGTCCTCAGTAGTACAAACGTGGAGGATAAATGGTCCCTGACTTGATGAGCTTGTAGTCTAAACAAAGGGGGCAAAGAGGATTAGGGAGGAAATATAATATTTAAGGAGGGTGATTGCTGGAAAAGCTTGTAAACATCACATTAATTCCACTTTTATTATCGGGGAGAGGAGGAAGAGTAGAGTAAAAACTGGAAGATTTGTTATGTAAAATATAAGGTAAATAAAAAGACAAAAAAAAAAAACTGAGGAAGGCTACAAAATTGAAATGAAGATGATAGGCAAGAGTGGAAAAAGAGGCAGAGAGAGTGAAGATGAAATGAAGTGACTGGTGAAAGAAGGAAAAGAACAATTATGAAAGAAAAGAATCAACCTAGAAGTGAAAATATTCAGAACAAAAAATTGCTGACAAGCACCACTATTTATTGCTTGATATATTCCTGGCTCTACTCAGGAGGCTCACTAATCCCAAGTTATTCATGGCTAGGAAAGCTGGAAATCCAGAACAAGAAATTTCCTGCATATGTTTGATGATATGTACCATCACCTGCAGCACTGTTCAGTGATGTCTTGCCTCTGAAAGTGCCTCAGAGAAGGTCCATAACTCTATTGACTCTATCTCCAGAAAGTCTGAATCTCAGATCTACTGCCCCGAATCCCTTCTTCTTCTGTCAGGAGCTTTGCAACTTGAGTATCATTTTACTGCAAATGGTGTTATGAGTACCAAACCCAACATTGCTTCTACTACCCCAAATCCACACTCATCCCTCTAGACAGGGGAAACCCAAAGGTCATATTACTTCCAGAATTCAGTAATGGATAAGACCCTCACACTAATATTTTTGGTTAAGTGAGTGCTCCCAAGAACTGGTATAAAAGTGGTTCCCTCTACAAGAAGGAATTCAGTACTATTCAATATCCCGACTTCTGGCTCCAGAACTGGAAGTAGCTCACATTTCTCTGAGCTTGTCATCCAAAGGAAACACTAAGCCATTCCCTCTGGGAATGGGCAAGCTCACTCTAGCTTATGGGGCTAGAGCTCCATAAGGGTGTAGTTAATGTAACAGTAGCATCGCATTGCTGTAAAATGTTTTTGATCACCACAGAGCTCAGTTTAGGCTGTGGGCTATGGGCTCCAACTCCCATTTAAGATAATGTAAATGTGGATATGATTGGCATCCAGGGAGGGAATGGTATGAGAAAAACATCTAAGAGAAACAGTCTGCTATAGCTTACACATGAAGGTAATTGGTTTTATTCACCTTTACACTTGATTTACATTTAACATTTACCAGTGCCAGCTTAGTAGATAGAGCAGCAACACAAACTGCATTTGGCTCTTCATGCTCAAAATGTCAGCAGACATTCAGGATTTAAAAAATCTGCTCATACTAGCTGTTATACTGGAAGAAATATTTCCAGTATCATTTGAGAGGCTCCATAAGAGTGGATAGACCTAAATGACCCAGCTCTCCTAGTCGGATATGTTCCCAAAAAGGCACATGCACCATGAGTTTAAAGAAGAGCTCAGCTCCTATGTGATGTGCCTGGCAAAAATGTCTTCTGTGATAGTGAGTTGTGCAGGTAGGGAGTCACCTTGAAAGTAATTTCCTATGAAAAATGTCTTCTGTGATAGTGAATTGTGCAGGTAGGGAGTCACCTTGAAAGTATTGTGATCATATCAGAGTGCTTGGAGGGCCTGCTGATCACAGACTCACTGTTTGAGAGATGCTAATATGCAAACTACAGCAAGGTGTGGCCTACTACATTTGTGGTGGCAGCTTTTCTATGGCATTTTTGGTTTGAAAGCATTTTTTGTTTTGTTTTAAGGCACAATGATTTTTTTGCCAGAAAAATCAGGTGGAAATACCTGAGAAGACAGATCAGTGCTACGAAGGAGGCTGGCATGGGTAGTGCTCCAGTCAGATGTGACTGTGATTCACAGCCTGGGAAGACAGATGTAGACATGCCAGGGCACGGTGGAGTGCTCTCAGACCAGCTGTGTATGTTGCCAGGAGAGGCTGATCTGACAGGAGGAATGTCCATCAAAGTCCAAAAGAAAGTCACAAAAAATGTTCAGACAGGTGCCTGAAATACCAAAATACCTGATCATCATGCCAATAACACTACCATGGCAGCTGAAGCCTCTAAGCTGGCATGTCTAGATTGCCTTTGAATAAAGCTTGCACTTGATTTTTGGAAGGGTGAGAGCATGTCTTGGCTGTGCAGTTCTCTGAGAATACTCCCTGGGTCACCATTGTGCAGGGAACTGGTGGGCTTCAGCAGAGAAGACGAAGGACTGTTTGGGAAGGAAAACACAAAAGGAAAAAGTGTCTGAAAAGTTATAGTCAAGGTATTTCCTCCTTGACAGTTTCCCTTGTATTCTTTTTTGTATTTTATCACTGGGTAAGACTAGTTATCCTTTTTCACCCTCATCTTCATCCCAAAGACTAAAATAAAAAATCAATATTCTTCTGTGTTGAAGAATGCCATTATAAAGGACTAGAGGAAGAGATTTATGGTGAGATTTTATAATAGTACTAGTAGTAATAGATGTTAGTTTTGTGTTTTCACATTACAGTTGTGTTTCAAATTTAATACCTCAAATTTCAAACAGATGAAAAGCCAGTTTTTCAAGATATCAGATCAGATACAATTCCAGTTCAGTTGCTGATTATTAAAAAAAAAAATGGTGGTTGAAATTTGCTAAATCACTTTCTGAGCTTGCAATTTTTTTACTTTAAGAATAACATGGGCTTTTTTCCAAAGACATGGAAATTTCATTTCAAAAGGCAGAGAAAATTTTCTGTAAGTTGATTATTACACTAGTTATTTTTTTTAAGTAGAAATTTTAACGCATTTTGGAATTAATGTGTTACCCAGAATTCACTGTAGTTCTTTGAGGATTTACTAAAATAATGGCACCTTACTGTACAGTAAGCTTTACATAAAATATCTGATTACTGACCTCCAGCATATAAGGTCTTTCAGGACTTAATGGGAATAACTGGAAAGTCTAAAGGCCTACATGGCCCACTCCTACACTGGACGTGGAAAGTAAAACACAAGTGAAAAGAGCCAAGCAGAGAAAGGGCAGGACTGTGGCAAATACAGCTTTTCACTCTGTCCAAAGAGAAGCAGGACTTGTAGGGCTCTATGGGATCTTCTCATACTCTGGATTGCTCTGAGTGAGGCTGAGAGCTGCTTCAGTCTTTAGTCAGAACTGGAAGCACAGAAAAGTGACTGGAGGCTACTCTTCCTTCCTTCTTTCCCTTCTATACGGTCTCAGTACATCCGAGGATTAGCTCCTCTACCTGTCTCTCTACTATCTTCTCAGACAAGAGTAAAAATATGAGAGGAAGAACACAAGAGCAGGCGGATGCAAGTTGACAACCCCTAAAATATAACTGCAAACCCTACAAATCTGGTCTTAAGCTTTATAGTGAATCCATGTCATTAAAAATTAACTATGAATACTGGATCTTTCTTATACGCATGTAGCTTGTGGCTAAAATCACATTTCGTTGTACTCAGCTAGTTGTACCTACATCTAATTAAAGATGAAAAATGATGTGATGTGTAAATATCCTTCAAAGGGCAGCATGTCATTGGAATCTAATGTGATTAAATTCAACTATAATTAGGGGGAGCTATTTTTCTTTCTCAGTAATTTTTCTGTCTGCTTATCTTTCTGGGAAAGGACTTCTCTCCCTATGAACACAACAAAGCACACACATTTCCCTTTGATAACAATCCTACTTGCACATGTACCAGAAGACACAGCAGTGAAAGACCAAAGGTCCAAGACTCTGATTCACAACCCCGGCAGATGTAGGCAGGAAAGCTGAAGAGGCTACCACTCTCAAGGGCTGGGGCAGGTAGTAAGCACAGTTTAGGTGTACATGCACAATCAGCTAAGGCTTTCTACCACTGTACATTACAGGCCTGTTACTGCAGTCTGAAAGCAGCGGTGTCTCTGTTAGCAGAGTGGGCTGTGAACCACATGCAGACACAACACCTGTGCAGCCATTGCTGCTATCTGGGTGATAAACTTTGGGAGAGATGCACAGCTGAGAGCTGAGGGAAACAACCTATTCATCTCCCCTAAAATGAATTTGAAGAGCTCCTAGATGCAGTTCCCAGGTCAGCCACAGATACCCAGAGAGATGCTGAACAAATAATCATTCTGCTTCAGTTGCCATATCTGTAAAATTGGGTTTAACATTTATCTGCCTTGAAGGAAGATGAAAAGTTTATCATGATTAACATTTGCAAAGCTCCTTAAGGCAAGTATTGCAGACATACAACACCATGGTAGTACCTAGGAGTCCCATGAAAAAGTAGCCTCCTTTGTGCAAACTTCTCTCCAAAAACTTTTGCAATACTAGATCCTGATAAATCACTACCCTTTCAGAAATCACTGCCTCTCACACACCATAGTTAGGACTTGTTCTTAAAGCAGAAGGAGATAGGTGAGTTAACCTAAGAGGGTAAGGAGAAATTTTCCTGGTGCAAAACCAGTGTTAAAAAGAGGGAAAATACAAGCTGTCACTTCTTTTCTAACTGCAGTGAAGAAACTTACAGAAGTCTTCCCTCAACTCCTGGACAAACTGCGCAGAGTAGAACAGAAGGCACCAGCAAACAATATTTCTTCCAGCATTCAGCGAATCAGAAAATTAATTGCTCAAACCAGGAGTGTAGCAAGCAAGGTAAAACTTTTGGATGGGACTTTTGGTTACTAGTGCTAATAATCAAATGCATCTTACTAGGAATTCCATTTTCTTGGGCTATGTCAGAAGCCCAAACCTTGACATTATCTCCTCCCAACAACTGGATAAACAAAGTACCATGGAAGTCATTAAAATCTTTACAGTTGCTATTTGCAAGCAATTAATATTACCATGTATTCATGGTAGACTACTGCTACTGCAGTAGCAACTTTAATTAAGTAGTTGGCACAGTGTTAAGGATGGCCACAGTAACAAAACCATTTAAAGCTAAAACTAATAGGTCATTACTCAGCTGGCAACATTAGTTACAAGCAGTAGTAATTACAGCAATTTAATGCAAACTTTTCTGAGATGACAGTATTTCTTTTTTTCTTTTGAATTAAATTTCTGCAGGGTAGGAGAATCTTTGGTTCATACATATTTAATAGAGAAAAAAACTTTTATTATCATAAATAAATTATGAGGGATTTTTCTGTAACAAGAACACTGAGGTCAAAAATTAAAACAGTATATTTAAATTCATTCAGAGAAATAAAAAATTCAGTGCATTACTGTATGTTGACAATGCTGGAATACGCTATCCACATACATTACTTCAAAAAAGAAAAGCAAAATTCAGTTAGTATGTGTGCAGTGCTTGACTGTTCTTTAAATGTGTTTTGTCATTCAGGCATATTGTGCTTAAACTTGAAAACATTATTTCAGTTATGTTGAAGGCATTTTGAGCTAAAATGAACATGTTTTAAAATTTTATTAGCATCTCATATATATTACTGTAACTTCAGTAATATAACAGGATTACTCCTGAACACAAAATTAGTCATACTACTCCCAAAGCAAAGAAATAAATTATGGTAAAAGTCTTACAGCTATATAAGAATTTCATTATGTGCCATACATAATGATGTAGCTCTGATTCAACTAAGCACACATCTATGTCCCACTGAAATTTAATTTACTTTATGAATATGCTTAAGCACAGTTAATTAGGAGCTTTAATGAATTTTAAAATGAATTTCCTTCATCTTCTTTACAGTGTCTTCCAGAAGTGATTGTTATAAACATACAATTTTGCATGGCACGTACATAGGTGCCAACTCCACTCTTGTAGTAAGCGAGGCTGCTGGCTAAGTATTCTTGCACATTTACCTTAAGTAATGTCCCCAGGCAATAATAATGTGTCTCACTTAGCACACTTGCAACTGCAGGTCCAAGTTTCTATGATGTTTGGAGGCCAATCAGCTGTTGAAGTCAATCCAAAGATCAACGTGGAGGAACTGAAATCTTTCACTTCCATGAGCTTGTATATAAAGCTTCAGAAAGACAACCCACAACTGGCAGCATCGCCAGACAGATTTATTTTGTACCTTGGAAACAAAAATGTAAGAGAATAACCCAGTTAATTTTTATATATTAAAAAAAAAAAGAAAATTTAAATAGGTATGAAGTTTATTTGCCCTTGTTTTTTCTCTCACTGTTTCTCCGTGTTTCAAAATAAGGGGTGTCTACTATATGACTGTCATTGATTTTGTGACAAGCAAAGCGCAAGGGTTCCCAAGGCCCCTGTCCTTGAAACTTCTCACCCCAAACAATGTAAGAAGCAAATTAGACTGCCTATGCAGTGTGCTGCTGTGATTGTCACCGCCGCGAACCATACTTGCCATCTCCATTGGCGGTACTGAGCTGCTGTGAAGCAGTTAATGTCATCTGCCTGGCTTTTGTGGGCCACATTTCAATCAGGTTTATGCTGCTGACAGTGTCAATTCCAAATCTCTGAGGTCAGAGGCCCACAAGATAAGCAGGTTTCTTTGCCTGTGGCTTGTGCTGCTGTTTTACACTCTACGTCACTACTTTGAAACACCTAGAAAGGGCATATACTCTTACTACCTGTAAGTGTTGTGAAATTGTTCTTTAAATTGTGGTTCCTAAAAGAAGAAAAATCACACCTCACAAGCCCGGTATAATCCTGGCAAGCTGTTAGTTGGGAAGAGTAAAGAGGCAGACTTTTCTTTTTAAGCTTTTCTAAAAAGAATGTCTACTGAATATAAATCAAGCGAAACCCCTCTTGGCAGAATATTTAATTGCAGCATAATACCTAGCTTTAGACAAATGTTTCTTCCTATTTCCTACATACGACACTGCACACTAAATACTGATGAACAGCTTCCCATGAAACATTACCAATTTACAGCCAGAAGACATCTCATGACCTTGTATTTACCTCAGTCAAAATGGATATGAGGTAAAAGATCAGAGATTTTTTCTGTGCAGTTCTATCTGGTGAAGGAAAGTAATTAGAGAATGAAGCATTTGTTTATCAGTTATATTTAAAAGTGTCATTTAGTCTATCATAGCCCATCCTTTACTAATGTTCTACATTAAATTTATTTCAATGTTTGTAGCTCTGACATCCTTCTCCATTGGTGTTTTAGGCAAAAAATTACATTGGCCTTGCAATTAAAAATGACAACCTTGTGTACATTTATAATTTGGGAGGCCAAGACGTGGAGATACCTCTGGATGCCAAGCCAGTCAGCACCTGGCCTTCTTACTTCAGCATCATCAAAATTGAGAGGTAAAGTGACAATGTACAATTCTCCAAAATCAAACAGTTAATAGAAAAAAAAAATCAAACAGAAAAGGCTGGGTCAGAACTGCCCATCAGAAGTCTTCCGTGCCTGGTTCTACTCCTGAGAAATTCTCTTTGCTTTTAGAGAGCCAGGACCCAAAGGGCTACAGGGGGGAAGAGAAAGTGTCTGTAGTTTCCCCTTTCTTTCCCCATAGGGTACCAATCTTCTAGTGAGGAAATAAAAACCCTTTCTGAAGTTGGAGGCTTGCTTGTTCTTTTTTAAGTCTAGCCAACACAAAACTCTCTTCTCTTGCAATTCCCTTCTACAGGATAGGAAGACACGGCAAAATGTTTTTAACTGTGCCTAGTCTTAGCAGCACAGCTGAAGAGAAGTTCATCAAAAAGGGAGAGGTTCTTGGTCCTGGCTCTCTTCTGAATTTGGAACCTGAAAATACTGTTTTCTATGTTGGCGGAGTGCCTCCAGACTTCAAGGTTGGTCAGATAAATACTCTATATTTAGACTTAAATAATGCAAACCTATGTTGCTGGGCTTCCCTTTAAACACATAAATGGTTATAAATAAAATTCCCTTATTTAATCATTTATCAGCCTAGGACTCCATATTATAGCCATGATGAAAACTACTGCTTTCTCTAGCATATATCTCATACAGTAAGACAATCAGATTCCTGTCAGCTGTCATTACAGTTTTCTGAAATGTAATAATAAGAAAAAAGCTTGCTGGCTGTTAAATAGTACATATAAATCAAGGCCTATTATCCCAGCTTAACGAAGTTTGCAAGCGACCAGGTTTTTTTCAATGCTAATGAGTTCAATGCTTACAATTTCTCTTTTACAAGTGTCACAAAAATGAAAAGTAATGTATTGTTAATATTAGGACAGTGTGGCAAACTAGTAATACAATGATTTGTTTGAATTTAAATGATCCTTTGTTCAAATCCAGCCTTACAACGGCATGAAGACTCGCCTGTGCAAAACATATCCGAGGACCTGCGTGAGACAGTTGCTTCAGTCTAGTTCCTAATGAACAGTACCCATCTCATCACAGTCAGCATGAATTAGCATCTCACTTACCTGCTTCTGTGAACATACCAGGTCCTCTTTTTGGATTTAGAAATTGTTATGAATTATCTTGGCTATGAAAATCACATGGCTGAATGAAAACATACTTAGAAAGGCTTTAAAGAATGCTAAATTCTTCAAGCTAACTGTAGTAGGTGCTAAAAACGTCAACTACTGTTCCACAAGCAGCCCTCTTAATAATATAAAAACAAAGATTAACTCAATACACTTACATATTCCTGAGCTTTTGCATTGCTGTGACTACCAGATACATGCCATGGTTTGAATTTTAGATTACTGAGCCCCGGGTGCAAATTGCCTGGGAATAGGACTGATGACTGAATAATAGTTGCACACACAAAAAAAAAGTAATCCAGCAAATGAACCCTTCAGGTCTCAGGCAGAGGAAAAGGAAAAGAAAAAAGTGAATGAAAATGGGAAGGGGAATGGGAAGAAAAGGATTCATGGAATTATTTTATAAGCATATGAGTCTCTTCTCCCTTAGGAATGGACACCTCACATTTTCATTTATTAACATATAGTCTTATTTGCTTAAAGCTTTTGCTTTCCTATTATATATTTTGTAAATATGAAACATACCACTTAACCATTAGAAGTCTCATACTTAACATGATTTCACAGAATAGTAGAAGAAACAAAAGAAAAAAAAGAAACATTATAATTTACAAAATGTATCTCTGCTACAGATAAAAATCTCATTTTCTCTTACAGCTATGCACATTCTGCATTGCTCTATTACCGTTATTGTTATATCATAAGCAAAATGGAAATAATGAGAAGCCAGAGAAAAGTTACTGGCAGTGATCAGGCCCTGAAGTACAAGAGGTGTTATTAATATCACACCTGTCCCACAAGGCAGAGTATTTTAATACTAAAAGAATGATTCACTAGCTCTGTCAGCTTTATTCTTTGGTATTTTTCCATTCACCAATGTGGCTATTTAAATTCTATTTGCAGTGACCTTTCTTAAAAGAAGGAGTTTCGCTATCCTGCTAACTGTTTAAAACAATACCTACTGAAGATTAGCCACTGGTACAGACTTTGAATCCAAGTCTCCTGGGTTTAAACTGCTCTTTTTTTTCTCTCTCTTTCGTCACGGTGTGAAGTTGTTTTTCTGGCAGTGAAGGATGTCTATACATTAGACATGAAATATCTATTGAGAGATTCAAATACCGTGAGCAAGATCTGTGATTAGTCAAATCCTAACCCTTTTCCCCTTTTCCAAGAGTGCTCCCTTCAAAACTACAAAAGAAGTTTTTGTTTGCAGGTGCCTTACCTGGTCTGTTGTTCTCACTGTGAGAACATTTATGTGTTCCATTTTAACTTACAGCACAATGGCCATATCATGATAAGGACAGCAAAGTCTATTCCAAGGTAGCATCACCCCATTTGTTTCAAGATATGAAGAGCACAGAGACAAAACTGACCCCAGGCACAAATGCTTTTGTGATACCTAAATAAAGAGTGTGACCTTTCTACTTTTCCTTGCTTTCTGCACAGCTCCCTCCTAGCTTAAACCTACCCAGCTTCATCGGCTGCCTGGAACTGGCTACCCTGAACGATGATGTCATCAGCCTATACAACTTCAAGCACGTCTATAACATCGACACCACCACATCGCCACCTTGTGCCAGGTAGGGGACAGTCCCACCGTTGCTCTGCTGCTCTGGTTTGTAGAAAGCGCCAGTCCTGGTGGTTCATTCCTGTTTCAGAATACAAATGTGAAGGTGATATTGAGTTATCCAGAAGGAACTTGGCCACTTTTAACTCCTAGTTGCATCAGCAAATTAAACTTATATATTTGCTGTGTCTCCATTAACTCTCTCATAACCTTGCTCATGCCTTCAAAAGGGAAACGGAGTGTGTCCACCCTGCCGTGTTCGCTAGGGCATGGTCCAGGCTCCCTCCTTACTCGTGCTGCTTGCCTAGGACAGGACTGCTCCTGGATGGAATCTTGTCACTGCGAGTGACACAGCAACAGCCAGTTAGCTCCAGTGGGCCTGGTAAACTTGAGCACACTCCCACCGCCAACTAACAAAGCCCGTACGGAAGTTATCTTTCTCTCTTAATCTCTTAAACCCACAACAGAAATTCCACAAACTGGGAAATGCAGCCCCTAAAGTAGAAGTGAACATCCACCGCAGCATTCGTTTAGCACAGACATAGCAGGCATTTTGTTCATGCAACAGGCAGCAACAGTAGAACCTCTCTACACAAAGAATAGGAGAGAAACTGGCAGCTCTCACTGGGAAGAAATGCAGGAGGTGTTGAGACAGAGCAAATGATTGCTTCCCACACCATTCCCACAGGGAGCACAAGCTGCTGCTCTCCAGGACAGTGCGTGCGGGCCGCTCCTGAGCTCCTCAGCAGCGCCCATGCTCAGCTAAAGGCCTTGGAGAATTCAAATGGGTTTCGGCACAAACTGGGCAAGCTCTTAATAGAAATGTATGTGTATCTTTATAATAAGGAGGTGTGGGACTGCCACTTTACAAGGATGAGCAAAGAATTTTCCTGTCTTCTACATACAATACAGGATAAAAGCACAATCTAATGATGAAGGAAGTAGATACATGTTCAAAGCTACACATTATTTTTCAGAAAAAATTCCCAGAAAGAATTTGAAAGAAAACGTCATCAGTCTCACTGCCAGGAAGAAGCAGCCGTTCAGAACAATTATTTCAAGAAAGTATTTTAATTGTAAACGCCTTTAAATTTCCCCAAATTAAAATGGGGATATGCCAAATATTGCTTCCCTGCTTGTTTTTTCATAGAAATAAGTTGGCTTTCACTCAGAGCCGGGCTGTGAGCTATTTCTTTGACGGCTCTGGCTATGCCTTGGCAAGAAATATTGAGAGAAGGGGAAGATTCAGCCAAGTGACTCGGTTTGACATAGAAGTTCGAACACCTACGGACAACGGATTGATCCTGCTGATGATTAATGGGGTGAGTACCAAATCCTACTGGTACCCTTTATCCATGAGCACCACAAGTTCTCCAGTACTTACAATATCAAAATGCTTACGTCCTTACATTTAACTTCTGGAAAGAGAAATACTTTGTGTTCGTCTGGTGCATGTATACATTAGGAGAGAACTGGATGTGCTCTGCAAAGGCCCCAGGAAGCCAAGGACCTGAGCTGGACTCTGCTCTCATCCGGAGACAGTCAGGACTTCAGACCAGTCATACCCCTGTGATGACACTTTGAGAGAGACTCCAGTTAAGCCCAGTAGTTGCACCTTTATTTAAACGTGAATGCACAATCAAAGTGATAGGAAATTTCGGTGAAGTAACTCCCACAAAGCAGCCACTTCGTGGTAGCTGCCACTTTATAACTGTGTCTCAGGGTGTACTAGAGTTAAATATTTATTTAAGTTACTGAAAATAGAAAGTAGCCCAAATAAAAAGGCTTGATCCAAATATCACCAGCTTTTCAGAAGTTTGAGGGCGATGCAAACTCTGTAAGGCTTTGAAGAAAGTAGACTCCACGTGCAAATATCCTCTGAAGACAAACTCAGATTTTTTTGTCTTTGGGCGTCTCCACATCAAGCTCCCAGGTCCTGTGTGGATTACAACTTGGTAAAGCCACAGCAAATATTTTAATATGTAGATGCAGTCCACAGACAAACACTTGTCTAGACACCTGCATGTACCACCGCACTGAGCCTTTAGAAGAGAAAAAAATCTGCTCTCATTAGAAGAGCTACTCTCTAGTGTTTGCCTTTTAGGGTAACTTCCAGAGAAGAGTTGTGGAGAGCAATTTGCTCTGCAGCATAGCATGCCACCACTACTACCACTAACCTTCGCTCTTAGGAGGTTTTGGACTAAGCAACTGTTGTTAAAAGTTTAACAGCCTCTATTGCAGAACAGTCATTTTTCTTCCAAGCAAAAGTGCCCAGAGATTTGTCGGAGATGTATGCACTTTGTATGTTACAGTGGAAACTGCAATCAAGTTGGACGTTAGCTGTGGAAGACCATGCCTACTCAAAGGCACTTTTAGAAAGACTGTGCAAGCCGGCCCATTATTCAGTTCTGCAAAGACAGCTCATAAATATTCTGCATGTAATCCCCATTTCATTTTCAAATTTAAGCTGTTCAAGACAAACCCAAGCTGCTGTTTCATTTAAAAGCACTAGATTAAAACGTACTTTCACTACTTTAAGTAATGACTTCTGAGCATGGACTCATTTGTGTCAGAGACAGCAGTTCTTGGCCTGCAGTAGTTTTCTGAGAATTATTGTTCTCATGTTTCCACCAGGCATGGGAACAACAGCATGAACACTAGGAGAGAAGACAAACATTAGCATTAAAAGCATTAACCCAGATGCACAGTTGCTGTAAACTGTCCTTTCTGCTTCTTTATGTTCAGATTTGGAACAAGACCAATTCTATGGTACAGATCTTCATTTAAAGCACTCCCTAAAGATTTTCTAAAGTAGAGCTCCTGTTTATAAAGTTTAGGTCACCCAGCCACAGAACAGAAGCCAAACCATGAAGCAGGAATAGTCAGGAAATCCAGAAACCAAATACACAGTAAATACACTCTAGCTATTGCTCAGCCTTCAGCAAATATATCAGTGCTGATTAGGGCTGTGAAAAGATACAATCCTGTGACAGAAGCTGCTAATGCAGATACAGCCATTCTAGCACAACGTTGCTTTTACCAGTATAACATCTTTCATTTGGGGCATGTGGTATTACTTCGACAGTAAGTAGATGTGTTCGCATTAGGAATACTTTCCTGGTAAAGAATATTGGCATTACTGTGCTACCAAATACTATTCCTACAGGGAAACAGTTCACCAAGTCTTCAAATAAGTGCTGTTTATCAAACAATTATGTGTGCATGTATAATATATATACACATATATTGTATATATAAAAATAATCCAGAAACTGTATTATAGTTTTGCAAATAAAAAGACCTCTTCCCAGCATGCTTTTCACAATGTCAGACACTCTCATAACAGTGTTGGTTTTTTTTTTTAAATTGCTGCCACAATCATAGTGCCTTTCTGACTGCTGTTTTGTTTTATACAGAGTATGTTCTTCAGTCTAGAGATGCACAATGGTTTCTTGTACCTCCGCTATGACTTTGGCTTCAGCACCGGCCCTGTGCTGCTAGAGGACTCCATGAAGAAGGCTCAGATTAACGACGCTAAATTTCATGAGGTAGAGATGCAGTTACAATCACAGCCATTTGACCAACTATCCCAGCAGCTCCAAGGCAGCAATAATTTACTCCAACATCAATGAAAGGAGCAAAAGGATGAGGGGCCAGGTGGTGATGCAGTAAATCGGGCAGAAGAGTAGAGCACATGCCTGCCTTGCATGTGAAAGAGCACATGCAAGTCCCACCACTACTGAGCAGTGCAAAGGGAAAGCTCTCCCTGTCTCCTGGTAAATCAGTGCTTGTGGAAGATTCTGCGTATTACTAGCCAAGGACAGGAAAGTTCACATGGGAGGAAAAGTGTTATTAATTCAAAACGAAATTATATCCAGGACAACTATGTCCTTCAAATATACAACTCTCCTCAACTAAAAACATGTCATTATGTTCACTTGACCACCTTAGTTGTTATGCATTGTATTACAAGAAATATTGCATTTCCCATTTCATTTGAAGGGAGAATTAATTTGGTAGCAGTCTTTTATATATGCAGAGTATTTTAGGGACTTTGGCAGATCTAAAATATCTACTTGTATTTGGTTTAAGAGAATTGCTTTAAGCCAGTGACAGTGACAGTGACAGTAGAAAAACCCCCTTAGTGGCTTGCTTCTCCTGCCATTTACTTGATGTAAATTCAAAGTCTGATTCCAGATCCACAACTACAGCTACAGTTCTGTTCAACCTGTTTAAGCAGGTTTATGCTTTGACAATGAAATAAGTTTTTTAAGAAGTATGCCCTAACTTCTTGGATAAATCAATAAAGCACACTGAAGTTAATGGAGCTTATCTGTTTGCCACAGTGTAGAATTTGACATGGGGTACTTTCATGTGGATTTATTCATAAGTGAAATATCCTGGGTTTTCGATCATTAGAGAAATTGTGACATCGAAATAAGCTCCCTACTAGTAATTGTTGTCAGCCTCTCCCGATTTACAAACAACTTTTTTGATAAATGGGAGGAACTTTTCAAACAGAAAGATATAAAGACGCAATCAATTTTGCAAAATCACCATGACAACTTACAAATGATGACATTTTGGACACTTTTAAGCACATGTTTTTCTTTTCAGATTTCTATTATATATCACAATTCTAAGAAGATGATCTTGGTAGTAGACAGGCGACATATAAAAAGTGTGGACAATGAAAGAACAGCAATGCCATTCACAGACATCTACATTGGAGGAGCACCTGCTGAGATCTTGCACTCCAGGTTGGTTTACAACTGGAATTCAATCATTATCTTCAAGTAATCACCGTATTTAAGTTATGTTGTATGACCTGTGCTGAAGGGCTTACAATAAAACATTCTTCCCAGCCTCAATACCTTCTGTAAAACAACCCCTCAGACACTCTTCTAAGTGTCTCTCAGAGCTCTGTAGTACCAAGGATTAGGCTTGATCCAGCACAGGTAAATTCTGCTGAAACTGGTCTAGTTTTAGTAAGGGTAACAGAAACTGTTGTCTTCTTAAAACAAAAAGGCATTTTCAAAGAACACATGAATGTATAGAATTGCTATTCCTCCTGCTCTGCAAAAAGTGATCTTTGTAAAATAGCAATGCACTAGCTGAAGGATCAAAATCCTCTACCAACTGCATTCTCAAATCTAAAGACTATATTTCTCCTACTACGCACTTCAGTTCTGATCCATCTCAGCTTCTTTCTAGACCCAAGTCAGCTGGCTCTGTGTGGGCGTGGGAAGAAAAGAAAAAGTCTCATTTTCCCATCATACCATTTGACAGAAACCCAGTTTAATCTCAGTAGACTCTATAACTCTCATTTCCTGCAGTGGGAATCTGCTGGACCAGAGTCACGCTCTGGGAGAGAAGGCTGGCTGCTTGAAGAAGGGTATGCTCTTCTGACAGGCAATATTCATTCCCGGGGTCAGACAGTAAGGCCAGCATTTTCAGAAGGGCTCCAGCTGCTGTTTTAAGTGTCACAACTGCTAACAGAAATACCATCTCTCCTTAAAATACCCTCTATGTTAAAAAAAAATAGGGGAGAAGATAGCAAATGTTGCACAATAGTTTCTAGGAATTAGTGGTAAATCTCCTGAAACCTTATTTTGTTGTCAGGAGAGCCTGTTGAATCGATAAATAATGTCTGAGATATAAAACACTTACAGATTAAGCTTTTAAGATAGGTACAAACTTCATGTAAAGGAAAATGATGCCTTTCAATCCCATGTAATTATTTGAACATGCAAACAAAATGGTGGGCAAGGGAGAAACAGAGTATATAATTTATCTGGCCTTTCAAATACTTCTTTACAAAGGTCTGTCACAAGGGGCTATTAAGAAACCTAGTGGGATGGAAGGAGGAAAGGCTGCAGTGGATTAGAAAGCAGCTGGGAAAGAGAAAACTCTTTCAATTTTCACAGTATAAAAAGTCTACAGCACATGCCCAAAGGATCTCTCTTAGGGCTGGTATTAAATACATTAATGATCTAGAAACAAAGCACAAAAGGATGGTGAAAATTACTTTGGTTAATCAAGCCTAGAGAATACTGAAAAAGCCCAGAAGGACCTAGAAATCTAGGCAACTGAGCAACTCAATGGCAGATTAAACTTCTTCACAAATGTAGGGTACAAGATAAATCGCATTAATTATGCCCAGAGTTTTCTGCTACAAAACACCTGGAAGGTACTGTCAAAGCAGGAAAAACAGCGTCTCAATGAAAAGTCGTATCAGAAAAAAATCCATAGGCATTGTAGAAATATGACCAATTATAATACTGAAAAATATATATTGAAATGATTTAAGCAGAGCTACAACTTTGCCTTGGATATTGTACCCAGCTTCGGTTCTCATGACAAGAGTAGACAGCAAAAAGTATGGTCCAAATGTGGCAGCATGTTTCCATTTTCATCAGGAGCATAAGCTGTTATTACCATTACATCTACTGATGATCTACTACTATCTATCTATTACTACTAGTATCTACTACTGATATTTATGGTTGCTTTTTCTAGGATGATTTACATTTGAGTAACATTGGGGAGCAGCAGCAGGGGGGGAAACGAGCTATAGTCTTAGAGGAGGAGTTTAATATTCTTTCAAAGCAGTATATTTTCATTCATTGCAATAGCATTTTCCTCTTTCAATTGCCTTTTTTCCCAAATAAATGAATCTGGAAGTACCATTGTATGTTATTTTTCTCCCAAATCAATCACTGCATAAAGCAGAAAGCTAGGGGGAGGCAGGAGCACTGGGTGCTGGGAACTGTTAAGAAACATACTCAGAAGCCTTTCTTTAGGTTAAAACCTATCTAAGAAACAAAATCAGAAGCCTTTCTTTAGGTTAAAACCTATCGTCTATAGTTCCTGTTGCTCCTAGAACATGTTGTCAAATTAATGACATTTAACAGAAAGGCATATTTATGACATCCAGTCACATGGTCAGTCAGAGTAGAGATTAAACTGGTTGACTGATACCCCACACTGATCCAAATCCCAGTGAGGATGGCAGGAGCCTTCCTGTTGATTTTGCCTTCCCTGGTTTCACTGAAAAGCAGATTAAGCCCCTACAGCACTCTCCTCTCACTTTATTTCAGACATGTATATCTGCGGTACTTCACCTGATGGTCCATTTTTGCCAATGTAGAAAAATAAGCATTTTCAGAGCCTGATTAATTTGTCATGTTTCCAATGTCTACTTTACAATGAGATAACTCATAGACAACTAGAGCAGAAGCAGATGTCAACACTGTCAGTATCATCTCATGTGAGGTGAGAAGAATCCCACTACTGAGGTCCATCCTGTAGAAAGCACAAAGACCATTTACAGGTAGCCAGGTCAAAACCAGATTTCACATTCACTCCTTCAGTGTATTTGTTCTCTAGTTATCTCCTGGACTGGTACCCAATAGATGCCATGTCATTTCCTTGCCCTGTCACAGACCCTTTGGGATTTTAGGCAAATTTCTTCTTCATGCAACATGAGTATTGTGAGGATAAATTCAATTATATTTGCCCTGTGCCGTAATGCTGTGATATCTTGATGAGAGGTGTTGCTGAAAAATTTAGAGCAGTGAGCAGGAGCAGCTGGGATACACTGCTGTGCTATCCACCTCAAATCTGACATAAAAAGGATCTTGGAAGCGCCCTGCTGCTCTCATTTACAACTATGTAAACCCACTCATCAGCAATCAGGAGTTATTCTTACTTCCCTGACCTCTGTTACTACTATTCGTTAAGAAATTAAGATTCATTTGCTTCCCAAGACAAGAATGGAAAAGGAAGACAGGAAAACTAAAACGGAACTTCTCTAAAATGATAAAAATAGAGATAGAAATCCATTGATTTTCACTGCAAGTGGGTAGAAATCCATTTAAAAATAAGACTTTTCATTTCAGCAGCTATTTTTATCTTTTTAAAGCTACTCTATATGGATGTCCTCTCTGAACTCTCATATATTTCCCCCCATAACATTTATTACATCTGATGCATCTTGACTTTTCAAAACACATAATGTGGTTTAGTTGTTCTACATAAACATGCAGGAGTTGGGCATTAGTAAGGCAAATGATTGAGGCTCTTCCAAGTTTTTTTAGAACACCTTGGCAGTAAAAGTCTGTTCAAAAAGGCAAGGGCTATCTAACTGCAGCTTGTTTGACATTGTTTTCCAACAGCATTAGTTCACATCTGGCAGGAAGTATTGGCTTTAAAGGCTGCATGAAGGGTTTCCAGTTCCAAAAGAAGGATTTCAACTTGTTAGAAGAACCAGGAACCCTGGGAATCAGCTATGGGTGCCCAGAAGATTCACTGGTAAGCATAACATCATTTGTGAGCTGATAACAACAACATTTTGGCAATGGATACAGCTGTGAGCTTGAGTTTTATTCCAAACAATGGAAAGAAAGTCTTCAACCAAGGAAATGACAATGCATTCATTGACTGGCAGGGGTGGTCTCTGTGTGTATGTGTGTGTATTAAGTCTGCTGACATACTACCCAATTTTCACCCTGAATTACAACACAAGGTGTTTTACTTGATATTCTTATCATATGTGAGATTGCAGTGTGAAAGCTGGATCTGAAATAAATTGTGTGCTGTATTCTGAAATGAAATATTCCAACATAGTTCATTTTTTCTTAAAGAAACAAGAATTGTCCTCACATGCATCTAATACAGATGTATGAAATGAAAAAGACAGCGAGATATTCATCCTTCAAATGAGTTCTCCCCTTAAGTCAGGCCAGCTCTTTCTCCATGATACACAAACTGCATCAGCATTAACAGAGAAAATGCCATTTTGCTTCTAATCACTTCCATTATTCATCTTTTGTTCCTTACAATGCAAGGCTGGTAAATCTAAAGAGTGGTTTTGGTCTTTATACTACGGCCATGTCTATCCAAAGCCACGCTACGAACCTGTGAAGGAGCCCATCACTTGTAGAGCTCATCACACAGTCTCACCCTCTGCCAACATGGAAGCTAGCTGCAATTTGTCCTACCTCGGACCCAGTTTTCCTTCTCAGACTCAGAGGGTTATAGACTGCCATGGCCAGCCCCCCACACCAGCATTCAGTGCAGCACGCACACTAATATATCACATGTTGGGATGGTGACTCAGTGCCACAGCTCTGACAGGAGCTTGAGCTCCCTCTGCTTCTAGTCTTCATGCTCACTAACACCAGCAGACTTAGGATGAGGCCAAGAATGCAGGAAACTGAGACCAATTTGGCTTACACTGTCTAAAATGGCTACACTTTCTTAAGATTTTCACAGCATGTGAGGGATAGCCTATATAAAGTAGATTAAGACATGCAAGAAAAGTTGAAGTTTTTACAGAAGAACTGAACTGGCTACATCTTAAAAAAAAAGAAATAGCCTCATTCTCTTTATGATTTGAATGTTTTCTGCAGCTTACTTGGAATTCTGTTTTATTTAATACACAGATGTCCCGCAAAGCATATTTCAATGGAGAGAGCTTCATTGCATCAAGCCAAAAAGTGTCCCTCTTCAGTGAATTTGAAGGAGGCTTTAATTTCCGGACATTGCAGCCCAATGGGCTGCTGTTTTACTATTCTGAAGGAGTGAGTACATATTTCTTTACAGTTTGGTTTATTTTATCCTTGGATTTCCTAGGAGAATACTAGGGAAATAATACAATTTCTCACTTCATCTTTTCATAATAGACAAAGCAGTCCACAATACAGAAACATTCATCGATGATCTCATTTTCACAGTTTGATCTACAGATGAAAACCAGAAATACTTAGACATTATTTTGATGTTGAGAAGAGGATTTGATCATATGCCTAGAATTAACATGCATCCATTTGTGCTAGTCCTTAGGGCAGAAATGCACAGTGTATCTTGCTATGCTTAGCAGCACTGCAATCCCTATTTGGACCTGTAGGTGCTACCAAAGTACAAATAATATTAAGGGCTTGACATTTTCCATCCAGAGATAATCCCCTAGAAGCAAAGACAAAGTTTGTTTGAATTAGTGGGACGGTATTTTGAGCATTGCTGAGTTGACAGAAATCAGTCAGAAAGCTGCCTATATCCCCAGATGGTACTTAGACCTCCATGTGTGACTGGGGAAAGCTATACTTGAGAATGGCTCCTTGCAGCTATGGGAAGCCAGGCTGCTCTAAATGCTCCCTCAGGGGTGTGACGTGGGCAGAAATATGGACTTGCACTCCCAAAATGTTGCGTAAACCTGAGCGATTTCAAGATCCTGCAGCAAGATCCTGCAGGCTCAGACTGACATCTGCAGCAAGCATGAGCTCAGATGACAGAATATTTGCAACCCCCCCCCGAATGTCTGTTCTGCTATACTTGCAGAAGATCATCAGCAGTGCAGCAGGGAAGGCTGTATGACACTGATAACCACTCCTGAACTTTTACATTTTACAGCCTGGAGTATTACTTTAAAAGGGAATCAGTAACCATGTCAATTATCCACATCGTTTGCATAAATGAGGCCTTACACACACAACTTCTGGTTTTAACTCAAAAGCTTTAATCCTATGAGGTGCCAAGTGGAGGTTCAGCTATTCAGCACTTGACAGAATGAGACAGGATGATTCCTACGAGTGCACAGTGGCACTGCTTGCTCTAATGGAACAGACAATATTCCTGCTATATGGCACAGTGATCCCATATGCCTGACCCAGACAGCAGATCATATCTCTGAGATAATTTTGAGTGATTGAACAGGTCTAATCAGAGGGAATTAAGAAAAGAAAAAAAATTACTGGTCTTATGACATCATGAATCTTGCAGTAACATCTACTTTATACAGTACGAGGGGTACCAGAAATATAAATGAAATGTAAACATAATACATCCATGCTAGATGGAAGGAGCTCATGTGACAGATACATGAGACATACTCAGCAGCAGAATTCCCAAAATTCAGGTTTAAAAAACAGCAAGAATATAAATTCTAATGAGGTCATCTCCTGTTTTGCTTCTCAGTATACCTTTCTGCAAACAAAGCACAAATGTAGAAAACAGCAGGAAGGAAAATAAATACAACAGGAAAATGCACAGAACTGTTAATACACTTGCTTATGAAGATGTTTTTGTCTGTATTTCAGTCAGATGTATTATCTATCTCCATGGACAGAGGTGCTGTGGTTTTAAATGCAAGTGGAACCAAAATTCAATCACCAGACCGAAATTACAACGATGGAAAAACCCACTTCATCATTACTTCTGTCACCCCAGAAAGGTAAAGCCATCCAGCATCTTTTATTCCCTACCTTTAGAATATAAATATTTCTTGTACAGCACATTATCATTTAATATTCACTTTCAAAGTGATGTTTAAGTGGGTTTTTTTAAGCTATATTTTTAACTGATAAATTCAGTTAAAAAAATACAAAGTCAAAAATCTATGTGATCAAAAACTGGCCAGCTTGGCCTGAGCATGACATGCTGGGAATTTTTAGTAAAACTAAAATAATAGTTTTTCTAAAAGCTTAGTCCTTTTTTGTCCTCAGGTATGAAACATTTTAATATAATTTAAGACTAGCATGAGATTCATTTTTCAGCATCTGATTTGTTAAAGCAATCCCAAATTGACCCTGAAGTAATTGAGGCATCTTCACAAAAAGCATTCACTTGGGATATATACAGTGCAACATGTTCAAATATTTTTAGCACTGATAGACACAAATGTAAGACTAAATACAGCAGTAGAGAGTAAGTCTCTCTATGTGCTTCTTAAAAAACTTGAAAGCATTGTTTTATTGGTATGTTTTACTGTTGTTTTCTATGTTTAAAATTTTCTTAGGTGGTCAAATAATCAAAGCATCTTTCTTCAAGAATCTTGCCTATGCAGATACAGTTCTGCATTCTCAGTTTTCTAATAGAAATGGAGGTTTGTACGTATGACATCCAAAAAACGTAGTTTGAAAAGCTGAAGGCGCGAAAAGATGCCTTGGAATAGCACTGGGGACTGTCATGTTTTCCTGAGTGTGCTGAACTCTGAACATGTCAAACAAAATCGATGCCTGATGCTTTAGTTATACTCAGTTTCTTATTAAAGCAATAGAATCCTTCTTGACTTCTGCAGCAATTAATGTGTTGCAAAATGAGATTAGGTAAAAAACATTTTATAAACTCTAACATCAATGTACTGTGATGAAAGAGAAGGAAAAAGGGATAAGGACATAAAGAAGGATTAGCGTGTGCTTACATCTTATTTTACCTATACAGTGGCTCCATCCATTTATTAGCAATCCCTTAGTTTATCTATCTTCACTGAGTGGACTGTATTTTTTTGGACTTCACAATTAGCCCCAGGATATTATGAAATCCATGGGCCTCTGGACTCAACTTTGCCAGTGGGTCAATCGCACTGCTATTTGTTGCACAGATGGAAGCGAGAAGGTCTTCTCATGACTTTGAGCACTACCATTCAGTGATGTATTCACAGCATGGAGCATTCTGGGTGTATGTAATATGCTGACTAACCACTGGCATTGACATTTCCAAAACTAGCCTACAAAATGGATGCTTTGCCTTTGCAGATATGAGCTGACTGTTGATGACAAGAAACAAAGCAAGAAGAACCCAGCAAAGGACAGAGCAGGGAAAAGCCCAGACAGCGTCAAGAAGTTTTATTTTGGCGGCTCTCCCCTCAGAACGCAGCAAGCCAACTTCACTGGCTGCATAAGCAACGCTTACTTCACTAGGTGTGTAGCATCCTCCAAAACACATTACCAGGCAGTCGCTGTCTGACAGCTCGGATAGTACTCAAGAGAACTGATGTATTGTCACAACAGAAATCCCCCTCTCATTTTGTGAGGCTAGACAGTATATGTGAATCAGTTTCCTACCTTATTTGCCATGGAATCCGTTGGCACAGACCTACTAGGTTAAGATATTGTTAAAGTGGGAATAATTTGATGTAAATCAGCTTTCACTACTGCACCTGCTAATGCTGCTGGTGCAATGTATAATTTGCATAGCTGTAATTTACATTTATATTATGTAGCTTTCAGCTCTGCCTTTGAAACAAAATTATATTAAGGCATCTCACAGAAGCTAGGGAAGTTAGGAGTTTGGTCATGTGAAAATGGTCAGATTTTGTTGATCTTAATCGCTTTATGAAATGTTCTTATATAGAAGATTCTAAAGTGAATGTGATGCTGCAGATTGAGACTGTTTATGGATACAACAGGCAGAGTAGTATAGGCTGCGCGCATTACCCAACATTAACTGATAAATCTGTACTTTTATCCATGATCCAAGACTGAAAAAAAGCCCATCCAAACATCATTTAAACAATAAATGTAAAATTCTGTGATTTTTATGAAGATAATTCCAACACTTGGGAAAAAACTGTTCTTGTCATCCCCTCTTTGAAACACAGGTTGGATCGAGACATTGAAGTGGAAGATTTCCAGCAGTATGCTGAGAAAGTTCAGACTTCTTTGTATGGATGCCCTGTTGAATCTCCTCCAGTTGCTCTTCTCCATAAGAAAGGAAAAAACTCATCAAAAGCCAAAGGAAACCGTAATAAAAAGGTTTGCTTTTTATTTGCCCCGGTACCAACCTAGAGTTTTCCAAAGTTGATACATACTGTGTTATGACTGGGATTTCTCCAAATCATTAATCCAAAATGTACCACATGAAGAGTATTTCAGATATATGAAAGAAAGGATCCTATTCCTTTACGTATTCCATCACTGCAAATGACTGCCCTGACACGATCTATCTGGCCTACTCTTGCATCATTCTCTCTTACTAGAATTGTAAAATGAAATTTATGACATCTTCAGAGAAGTACTGCAGAAACAAGCCTTCTTGATTTCTTCTATATCCTAAAGGCAATAAGCTTGCTCCTGTTCTCAGCTACCTCTGTGTGGCTCTTTCTACTGAGTACAATTAGCATGCATTGATATAAATGTGGAAAAAACCTTATTCCAGCATGCAGAACTTTTAGCCCAAGCATGTCATCTTATGCCTATAGTATAGCTGATATAATCAAAAGCAGAGAGGAAAAGATTCAATTAGGAAAACTGCAAAAGAATTGAATTGTAATTATGTTAGCTACACAAGTATTCTGTTTATCCCTTCTTGTGCTCTAAATCAGCATCTATAGTAAATCTGTTCACGGAAAATTTGACTTGGAACCATTCCTGGTATTTTTGCAGGGAAAAAATATATTACTAGCTTATATAAAAATTATACTGTTATTTTTATTATGTCCAATCTTAGTTAAAATTTCTGGTTAATGGCTCTCTTTCTATGAAGGTGGGAAGAGATAAAGACAAGATTTCACAGCCTTCAACGGGCCTCAAAAAATTGTATCAAGAAGTGAATATGCAAAGAGACCCTCAGTGCCACTTGCCCATGAATCCCAAGGCAACCAAACATGCATATCAGTTTGGAGGAACAGCAAATAGCCGGCAAGAATTTGATCACTTACCAAAGGATTTCAGTGAAAGGTAAAGGGACCTTAAAAATAAAAATTAAATACACTGGGGAGGAGACAGATTTATTAAAAGGTATTTCAGTTGAGTAAGAGCAATAAACAGAATGTGTTTCCAGTTACATCCCTTTTGTGAAGTCTTCATCTGCATTGTATATTAACAAAATGCATCTCCTTGCCTATTTGTAGGCTGTTAGTTCTATACAAGCAATGCACCATTGGCCTCTTTATGCAAGAAGCAATGGCATTAGAGCAGAGCTGGAAAAGAACATGGTAGTTCACCAAGAAATGAAGCTGTTACGTGTTGAGTGGACCTTGGCAGCTGTTTAATGGTTAGGAATCTACACAGTGCAGTAGGACTATGAAAACTATGTCCAATTCAAGCCATAATGGAAATACAAGTAATTAATAAGGAGTCTAGATACTGTGGACTTTTAATTCTCAGGCTCCCACAGAATACGCTATATGGTATGTTATGACCAACAAAGGATTTTAGTTTAATACTTTCCATGAAAGACTATAAATTCAACAACACAGCACTTCCTGGAAGCATACCAGACCACTAACTCAGAAAAGCAGAGTGCTATTTCCTGACTTAAATAAAAAAAGCATTACATTCGTTTTAATGCAATAGTGTTTTACTTAGGGCAGTCCTGATGGTGCCCATATGAAGGAAAACCAAAACGCTAATATGTCTCTTCATCCCTACAAGACATATTTGTTTTACAGCTGTTATTGCAGCTTCATCACTGTAATGTGCATTTTAAAAAAACAATGACTTGTGATGTTTTAAAACAACTGATATTGGCAAGGGCCTAAATGTGTGTGGAATGTACACACACATGCAATGGGAAACGTATAGATCCTCCAGGCAATATGAAGAATGGAAGCTAGGCTAGTCACCTGACATGAGAAGCAGGACTAATCAGTTCTGGCACTGCTACATCAGTACAGCTTTGCCATTTTTTAGACCCAAAGTAATAATACCAATCACTCAAGAAATCTTCACTGTTTACAGTGTCAAACCAAGTCAGTATAACTTGCTGTGTTGTCTTGGACTTCAGAAGGAACTACAAGGAAGGAGAAGCTTAACAGTGAGTCTGGAGTAACATTAAAGATTTGTGAACTGTCAGGCCTCCACACCGTCACAGTTAAAAAGTCCCCCAACATTGCTGTTCAACAGGAATGGAAATGTAGTGTATACACTGTCAGTTATTGGTGGTCTGTATTGATTTTATCCACTCCAGAGGTTTTAATTTTTGAACACAAGTTCCTTGCAAGGCAGCTTCTTCTCCAACTTTGACTTCTACTCCAAAAACCAGTACAGAATGTTTCTCAGAAACACCACTTCCATTAAAGGAGATGTATATTCCTTTGGATGAGAGGAATATCTCAGTCGTCCTCTGCCTGCAGTTTGATTTAAGTCAATTATATCTGCTCTAATTTTAATACTGTGTTTTTATGTGCCAGAGCTCAGTTCTCTATCAGTCTGAAAACTCACTCATCTCATGGAATGATTTTCTACGTCTCGGATCAAAAAGAGACCAACTTTATGGCCCTTTTCGTTGCTCATGGCCGACTCATTTTTATGTTTAATGCTGGTCCTCAGAAGATAAGGATTAAGAGCCAAGAGAAATACAATGATGGCCTTTGGCACAATGTAAGTAAAAGAAAGCAATCATTATGATGGCACATGTTACCAAGGCTGCAGTAAAGATACTGCTGATGTGACAGCTCAGGGAGTTTTCATTCACGTGTTCATAACCACACCTATACAATGAGAAACTTCTGCCAATATTTTTAAATCTTCAATGCGGCATTTTATCAAATCATCAACTAGGGACAGGAAAGTGAATCAGATATAAAAATCCAGCAATTCCCAACACTAACAGCTGAACAGAAGTGACAGAAACAAGCAGAACAGGCAATTAAGAGTTAAGTTAGCTAGGAAAGGAAGGACTAGGATAATTGTGTTCAGCAAATTTCTTTGAAGTGCCTAAGGAAGGAGTACAGCTGTCTTAGGGTCCCTCTGTAGTCTATGAAAATAAAAAGACGATTTTAGGGGTCAAGGCGAATTTTCCTCTCTCTCCTCACTGACTACAGAGGAAGTCTACAGTTACTAAGCTCCTAACTTTGGGCACTTAAGTGTTTAAAGTAGGCTGGGTGAATCCAGACCATAAAACTGGCAAAGACCATGAAAATGCTAACAGTTGATAGCACTGTAGCAATGAATCATATATGAGAATGTAAGATAGGCAGACCTCAGTAGACCTTGTGACACCTTGATTACCTCTGCCTTGTACACCAAAATGTAAAAGAGACAGCAGTTTTACTATCTAGCCTTTACATGAATGTGAAAAAAGAGGGTTGTCCAGCAACAAATATTGGCAGTTAATAAAACAGGTTTGTAGAGTATCACTCACAAGCTTTTCTTCTCAAACTTCTTATCTTCTTCCACTGCACAGGAGGGTTCCCTCAACAAATGAAAGTAATCTTCCAAATTTTTTTCCTCCCTTTCTAGGTGATCTTTATTAGAGGCAAAAATATTGGTCGCTTGATAATTGATGGTCTCCGAGTACTGGAAGAACCTTTCGGCGGTAATGCTAATACCTGGCAAGTCACTGAACCACTCTATATTGGGGGTGTAGCTCCAGGAAAAGCTGTAAAAAATATCCAGGTAAAGCAGACACCTATTACATCATCCCATACCTCTATGTACAGCTAATGCAAAAGCTGACTGCAGGGATGAGTTTAGGCAAAAGCATATTATGATCTGAATCCTCAGTGTGCTGAGGAGAACACAGCTCAGTTCAAGTGGACAGCAAAGCTCCCGCAGGGCTGCGCTGGCAGTAGCTGCGCTAGACTTCCACAGACTTCCAGCAGCAACTGGAAAGCCAGTGGTCTCTGAGGAACAGAGAAATCCTACTGACATGCAAGCTTAGATGAGACAGGTAAAGTTAGGTGAGAACAGTTCCACCCTAAGGTCTGAGATACAGATGAGTTTCAGAGAGATTTTAGTGTTGTCTTAGTATCTCTATTTTAAGACAGTACCTAGAAGTCAGGACGCTGCTCTACATCTTGGATACTGAAGTATACAGAAAGGAGTGTTGAACCAAAAATGAACATAACCAAGACTCCTTCAAGGTAATCTGTAGTGTTACGTGCCCAACAAGGTAGATACACCAATCCAGAAAAAGTAGACCCCTATCCTGCCTTGAGAGTATGAGGTATGTGTAACACTGCCTTGCTCTAGTTGCACTTTGTTTCTCATGGTTCAGTAAGGATTGTTTGAGAAACAACACAAGCTGGAATTACCTTCAAGTCATCAGAGAGACATGAGAGGCTACAAAAAGCATCTGTCCTGCTTCTCTTCTCTGGAAACTGTTTTTTAATTCAAAACTGATGCACTAGACAAACTGAGCCTTACAGCTCATAAACAAGTACAAATAGGGACAGAAGAGTTTATTTTCTTCCACTCGCAGTTTATCTACTAATCATACTTTTTTTTCCCCTCAGATTAACTCTGTCTACAGTTTTAGTGGTTGTCTCAGCAATTTACAGCTCAATGGAAGACCAATTACTTCAGCTTCGCAGACATTTAGTGTAACGCCTTGCTTTGAAGGCCCATCAGAAGCAGGAACATACTTCTCATCTGAAGGAGGATATGTCGTCCTTGGTAATACACTACTAAACAAATGTATCCCATAATAAGACTGTAGCATTCACTGTGCTTCAGAATGGCATATTTCACTAAAGGGTGTGGTAATTTCTGAGGATGTGAGCTGGAGGATTATTAGATACAGACCATTATTGTGGTAAGCAGCTGATGTTGACAGGTCACAACATCACCATGAAACTTAACAAGCTGTTACATAAATACATCTGTATGTATTTCAAATAATTAGAATAATTTCACAAGGGAACAGATTATAATATGGTAAAAATTCTCTCAGACATATAGAAGTCAATGTGGCTAAGACCAAGTACACCAGCAAATGGTCATCCCTTAGTTTTTTAATTAATAAAACAACATGTAATTCAAAAATCCTAAGGAAAGGCTTTCTGCATGTCTTGATAACGAACAGCAGGACAGAACACATCTTTTCTGTCATTTAGGCCTGCTGTGTTCCAGGAAGTGTTTTATGAGGAGTTTTTGGTCACATAGGCTCTGATCTGAACAGGAAAGGAAACTGCACAACCCTATTCATTGGCAACACCAAGAAGAATTAGACAGTGTTTCTAATTTGCTCCCTGGCCTGCCACCAGATTGAAAAAGGGGGTTTCTTCTACTGAATCATCAAAGCTCAAGTGAACTCCCACTCACTGTATAAAGACTGCTGAATGTCTAGCAAATTGCACAATAAGAAACTGCCAAAAAATACAGATAATTTACTTTCTGCTGTCCACTTCATTGCTAGGAAATATTTTTTTAAAAATACATTTTTTTAAATAATGAAAAAAATAAAGAAACCTTTATTAGTACTTCAAGCAAACACAACCAAAACAAAAGTTGAAATGGATCGTTGACGGCACAGCATGCCATCTCTTCAAGTATGTGTACTAGCACATGTTCCAATAGTTTTAAAGACAGAACAAGTAAGTTCCACCCTGGGGCTTTGAACTTCCCTTTTGACTTTGAGTAGATGTACAATTTCATCACTAACTCAGTACAAAAAGAATGTTATCCTTTTTCCCTCACAGATGAATCCTTCAGTTTAGGCCTGAAATTTGAAGTTGTTTTTGAAATACGTCCCCGAGGCAGCTCAGGAATTCTACTGCACGGTCACAGCGTGAATGGAGAGTACTTGAATATGCACATGAGAAATGGACAGGTATAATGAAAGTCACATTTCCTCCACTGCTTTGACTGGTTCCTCTCCTGCCTACTTGGGCTCTGCTATATGCAGCTTTTGTCTTACAAATTTGCCATTAATTGATTCTTATTTCTCTCTTAACTATATTAACTGCTTAGATTAGGCAACCCAGATATTTCTTTTAAAATACAAAAAAACACCTAAGACAAATCAGACCACTTTACTGATACCAACTATAAATATTTAATAAGCAGTTGAAAAGAAGCAAGAGCACTGACTCTTTGGTAATGCTCTTTCATCCACACATTAAAAATGTGTAACAGTTACAAGTAAGGTAACTGTTGATGAATTTTTATTTCTTGTCTGTTAAAACAGAAGTCTGAGTTGTGCTCAGTCCTTCTTGCTTTACATTATGTGTGCGATGGGGAGAGTGAGGGAAAGGGAATGTTCTGATTGTCTGTTGATTTGGTTTCTAGAGCCTCTGGATTTTTGTAAAACTGTCAATTGAACAAGAGAGGTTTGAAATGAACTTACCACATAGTTGTTGCTGTTGCTATTTTTTTATTATGTTCATCCCTAAAATCTGGATCCCATCATGCTACACATTGCAAGTATACAGTAATAAGTTGCAGTCTAAGTGGACAAAACAAGCAAAGGTTTAGAGCGGGGGCAGGGGGAAATCTCCTTTTTGCAGAAAAGAGACTCAGGGCACAGTCAAGAAACTAAGCAGTGTGGATATTCTTTAACCAGTATCTTACTGTCAACCAAAGTATTTAAGTGAGGCTGGCTATACCTCGGTTAGAAATGCAACACCTGAGGAAACATGCTGTCACCTCTCTTACAAGAACAGGAACCTACAGTAGAGTGGCTGAGTGGACAGTTTAACATGGTGATTCATCCTATCCCAAAGCAGATGTCTAATATAGGTGACTAAATGAGCTCTCATTCAGAGAATCTATTTTTCTGTATGGACTATAGAGAGAACAAGAGGTGCTTCAGTTAGGCACCTAACTTTTGATAGCTGATTAGGCAAGATAAAGCCCATTCTTACAGCTGTAGCTAGTCCTTGGTGAATTAACAAAGAACTTTTTAAAGCATATTGCTTTGCTATGTATCATGCCACACTTAAAGGTTGTTTCTGTATACAACTGGTCCAGCCTAGTACTTTTTACCTCACTTCCTGTATAACGCATATACAACTCATAAACAAAATTCACCCTGGAAAAGCAGCTCTTCCAGCTCTTCTTGCTTGTCACTGCAACAGGTACACCAGTTACCTTCTTAGTATGCATCTATGTTTTTTACCATTAACTATCTGCTCTCTTTGAATGCACTACTGAAGACCTGTTTTATGAAAACATTTTTGCTGGATAAATAAGAACAATCAGCACCTTTAATTCATTTTTTAAATGTGCGCATCTCTATCAGTACAGGTTGTCTGGGTGATGTACGCACCTCTCATGATTCTGTATTTGCTTTAATCACTCTCATATATTTTGTCCAAGGGTGGAAATGAGGATCATTTCATTTTTGTTTGCTGGTGCCCTTGTGGAAAAAAAGTTTTAAAATTTCTTAGTTACAACTATATTGAAACATAGATCCTCTAAAATTAAATGTAAGTTGTTCCCTTGCAACATTTTCAGTCAACAAGGTGTCAGCATTATCAGGGACAACTTAGACATTTGAAAAGCCTGAGTGGCTGGACTCAGTGTTTGGAGTTCTCCAGCAATCGTCACTGGGAATCTTGTGCCCTGCAACAGGGACACGACATTGCTCTGCCGCTGCTGTAACATTTCCATATAACTAAAGCAGAGGTGCAAAATTCAGAATTAGGTTCACTTTCTAGCTCTGCCAGACATTTGCTGTTAAGCTTGAACAAGTAACTTAAAAGTCATTCTTAAGTTCCTTATCTATTCCTTTCTCACATCTTGCCTGTTTGTTTATACTTGGGTTTTTCATGACTCTTTCC